CTGGTTCAGAGGCTGGCTACAGGTGAGCACACAATATGGGCTAGAAAGAGGTAAACAGGAACACACAAATATGATGGCAAGCAAACTAGAGCACAAGTAAAATGTATAGCAGAACTATACAGGCAGCAAACAATTTCATCAGTGAACTGACTACAAACCAGACTGAGGACAAAAACAAGTGTCTGTACACCGGTGATTCTGACAGAGCAACTAAAAAATATACACTGACCAGAGCCAATGAGAAACAAGCATCCGTACACATGAAAAACCAACACTTCCAACAGGCAAGCAAAATCAGAGTCCGATGAGGAATACAGGTTGATATCGGAGACAGGAGACAGGAGACAGGAATGAATTCTGGGAGGTCACATAAGTCATTTCTTCTTAGATTAATTGAGAAGGCATAAAAGAGGAGCTGCTGACTTAAGTATGGAGTGGTTGATTACACTGATAACAACCAGGTGAGTTAGGGCAGAGCTGGGTGGAGCAGGGGAAGTTAGTGGGAAGGGAAACAAAGACAAAGACTAAATGTATGATGAAAAATGCTGGACCATCTCTGAACTGCTTTCCTTGCACGGGTGATTTTCCGATAAATATAATCACAAATCAGTTAATTTTCTAATAGGCCTGAAGGTCTAAAAGTCAAAATGTGTTAAAGAAAAATTCAGTAAATCAACATCTAACATGTATATGTGTGTTGACATGAATGGTCCACTGTGTGCACATGCACATCAATGTGTGTAAGTCCTACCTTCATGCTGGGTGGTGCAGTGCGGGGCGGTGAAGGGGGACATTCTCCCAAAGGGACGGTGGAGATGTTTAGCAGCTCCTGCTTCCTAGAGAGAAGAAGATAAAACACGAAATATTCAAAGTTGATGTATTGATGCTGATGACCACCAAATTGACCTAAATATCCCCATTTCCTCATGCTCAAATGTTCTAACCCATCCTCATTTGCATACTCAGCATTATCAAATAAACTAAGAGCGGTCCTCTGGGGCTAGAAGCCCCCTTCTTCTCTTTTATGGTTTTTCTTTGTGGCATAAATGCACATTAATGATCCCAAATGTTAAAGGTTGAGCTGTCACTCAGAGGATTCAGGTAAATCAATCAGAGCACTGAAGTCTGTAAGGCACCTCATACAGTTTTATGGAGTGGAAATGGTATGATCCACTACAGAGTGTTTGTGACATCGTATCAGGTGCTTCTCCTGTGGCAAACTAAACTGATTAGACATAATTTATAAAAGTCAAAGATGTAAGTGATCACCTCAGATTTAGTGAATGGACAGACAGGATGAGAGTTTTAACTGACTGTTCATGTAAAATTAATATCCCCATTCTTTCATTAGCTGGAACCATTATATCATGTAGTTGTGCCAAGTGGTTGTGAGCAGCAAAAACACTCAACAGCACACAGTATAAAGCTGTGTAATAGAGAGCTTGATGCAGCAACAGTTTGCTTTTGTAGTTGACCCATGAAATGCAGCAAAAAACGGTTTCTATCACTCCTCTGCTGCTTGTTGACAGGCATAGTCTCTCAATTTCTATTGAGGCTCACAGGCACCCAAACAAAGATGGAAAGTTACAGTACAGCCCAAGCACATCAGAGTCTCCATTAACCTTTTCAGGACAAACCCATGTCCTGTTCAACCCTATAAGCTTGTGCTAGCCACTTCTTTCCACAGCACTCACACAATGCACCACTGTGTACCTAATGCTGCAGTATGTTAGCTCATAGTAGCCAAAGGTGGACAACAATTGCTGAGCATGAAGAACCAAGACAGGCTGTGGGAGTAAAAAACAAAACAAAAAAAACATGCTTTTACTGGACATTGTTCATTGTTCGTTCTTTTTGTTCTCTTCAGCTGTCAGTCATGTGTTTTCTAACACTGGCCACTCACTTAGATGTCTGTGTCTGGGCCAGATGCCTGCTGCTGTCTCTATAGCTGCCCTGTATGGGCACAAGGACAACACCTATTCTCATTGTCCTACACACACTGACTCACACCTGCACACTAGGAGATGTTTGGACAGGAAAATTGTGCATCGATAAGGGAGGGAGTGAAAGACAAGGAGCTGCTGTCCTCGCTGCCCAGACTGTTTCTGTGGTGATGAAACAGTGACTGACTCCCACCAAGGAAAGGAGAAAACATGGGAGGGAGGAAGAGCATGTAATGGGACATCAGGAGGGAGGAAGCAAAGAACCAATTTAAATAGAATAGGTAATGGAGAAAGCGAGTCAGAGTAGAGAAGTGTGGAAACAGCATTAGATGAGATGTGCTGCCAAGACACTTAAAGAAGATGCTTTGAAAAACTTTAAGAGCATCATCAAGTACAACATGTAACATTACAGCCCAGTATTTTACAATAAGTGCCAATGCACAAAGTGGTCTACAGGAGGAAGAAGGTAAGAGCGTGTGGAGTATACGGCTCAATCATGGAACAAGCACAGAGAGAAGGAACACCGGAGATTCACAAGAAACGGGTTTGGCAACAATCTGGCAGTGAGTGAATAACCGAGGGCTGGCTTAAATAACGGAGTAGCTGGTTACATGGATGAGTGTGAGCAGAGTAGGATGGATCAGGTAATGAGAGTGAGGAAAATGGAACAAAGAAAGGAGCTGGATATAACACTAATAGAAAACAAGGGGCAGAGGGGGAAAAGGATAAATCCTAATTTCCTTAATCGCATCCTTGTTTCCCATGTTTCCTTCACTTGCATCTTTTTCTTGTGCTTTAGTGCTGCCCATGGAAGATAGAGGAAAAGATGAAAGTAAAAAAAAACTGGAGAGAAGGAGAGAAGATTTCAGGAAACATGTTTTTAGAGACATGAGACGTCCTTTCCTCCGATTCTTCATCTGAAACGTCCAGTATCCAACTGATTTCTGATAATGGGCTGTGTCGGTCCACAAAAGACTTTCTAAAAGGATGCTCTCATGTATCCTTGCTCATGTCTCCTCCAGCACCCTCCTTGCACCCAGATCCTTTGTCCTGAGAGCAGGAAGAAGCGCTTTGGAACGTCTTTCAAGATGGCAGACCAGATCAATTTGTGGGTCAAGCAAGGAACAATAAAATAAGAGAAATAGGATTTACCCAATGACACTGAGAAAGGGTAGCTTAAAGAAAAAGGAATGAGAGAACAGAAAAGAGATTTAGAAGCAAAATAAGAGAGAAGTTTGGTCTCTTATAATGTCAACAATGCAGTCTTTTCCCCATAAAAAAAAAACAGAAAGAGGAGACAGCACAGTGAGCTGTGCCTCTCAAGAAGGGCTCTGTGTAATCAGCTGCAGCTCTGATTTAATGAATAAATGGGTAATTTTTCATTAAATACTTTTATAGGATTGAAGAAGTAGCACCTGGGCTGTGAAATGAAATTGCAAGGACAAATTGCATTTAGTCCTCTGGCTCCAAGCTGATACAAACAACAGTTAGAAAAAAGTCCCGGTGTGCCAAAGTGCACCAGCTGCCACACAATTACATTATTTCAATATGCAGTAAATACTGGCTGCAGGGGCCAGAGGGCAGCTGTATGGGGTTGTTTGACGCTTTCCGCTCTGTGTTTTGTCAAGAACAGTGAGAAATTTATTCTTCCACATCACTAAACATGCTCTTTAAAAGGATTTTATCAAATACAGTAGTTGTTGTTGGAGGAATTTTTACAAGTGGATGAATAAAGTGTTAACTTAACTCAAGCCCCTCTCCCTTGGAGCTAATATTAAATGATTGTAAACCTTCTGGGCAAAAAATATAGGGCAAATCATGCTCCACATTTACTTCCAAAGTAGTACAAGATGTACCTTTCTTACAGCAGCATGTCTGTAACCCTGCTTGCATTTAGCTGACGCTAATTATGGTTGATTCAACGGTAATTACATTTGCACAGTCATCATGTTTATCTAATGATGCAGGTAATGAGTATGTGTTTGTGTGAGAGAGAAAGACAGATAAAGTTAGATACTGTGATACATCTGTCGTTTCATGTTTTGATTACACCCTTGAGAGAAAATTAGGACAGCGGGACATCGGACACAAGCATGTACACCAAAAGCGAATGACTGTGTGAGAAAGTGAGAAAAACAGAGAAACAACACCTCTGTACACATCCCCACATGATGGGCTGATCGCAGGAAGAGGAGACAGGATATGAAATCTGGAAATCTGGGTAATGAAGGGTCCAGAGTGGATATAAATAAAGAATGGAGGACAGAGCCGGAAAGATTGGGGAAAGGGTGAACTGCAGGTCTCGGCTATGAGGCCTCTCCCAGGGGCTTACTGCACACTCATGCTTCCAGTTCTGCTTAATATTTGTTATGGAACTTGATGAGGAGCCTGATTGTCATGCCTATTGGACAATTACACAAGAGATGGCTTCTCTAATGGAGATCATAAAACAGCAATAGGAAACAGACAAAAGGAAAAGGATGAGGGTTGCAAAGAAATGGGGTGCATGTAGGTCAAGGAACATAAGGCGGATGTATATTAACAGGCTGAGAATAAAGAATCACGACACATAGCAGAATCCTCTGAAACATCACATTTTAGACTTGACAGTTACAGCTCTCATTACCATTTTAAGAGTCTCTTGTTACAGAGAATATGTAGAAAAGGTGATTCTGAATACAATGGAAGTAAAGTTTATTAAAGATAGTTACATTGTAAGGTACGGTACATCACAGTGCTGTCATATCTCTTTAAATGACTATCAGTCCTGTCATTTTGTCTTCTTGTTCTTCCTTTGTGTCCTGCCTATCACTCTGTGTCCACATAGAGGACATAAGAGTCAGTCAGCTGTCCAGCAGCAGAGAACAGGCATCCCAGATATGTGCAGAAATATGGAAAGGTCAGGAGAGCAAAAATTAGGAGGCAACTGCACTCCAAGTCACCGGTTGTTTCCTGTGGGAACGTCTCTCATACTGTGATAAGAATAGATACAAAACTGACAGCAGACAGGAGACGAGACTGTCCAGCCAGACAAGCTGAAACACTGAAAACAAAGGAGATGGTGATGGGGAGGAGAGGAGTGACATGTCTCTAGTGGGAAGACACATCATTGCTTTTATACAGTAATGTATAAATGTGGACAAAAACAATAATTGGTCATTCAACTACAGAAACTGTAAGTAGAACGAAGAGGAAGAAAATAAGCTTTTCATTTACATGCTTTGCTGATAAACTCAAAGGAAGGAAATGGATTTTGGGTATGTGTATGTGGGCTTTGTTGCAAGTAATAACACATTTCAGACCCCTTTTTATAACATTATGCAAGAATTCAAACACAGTGAAACACTGGCACACACTTTTTCATTATCACCCTCACAACTTATTACATAACAGACCATGTTAACAAGAACACACAGAAGGTAAAGGAAGTTGTCTGTACAACCCTACTGTGCCATTTTCTTACATTTTACATTTTATATTGTCAGTGCACCTTTAAGACCCAGTTCTAAGGAGCATGTGTTTGTGACTGACTCATAACTACAGTTAATTCAAATTTGGATAAAGCACTATTAAAGTTATATTTAATGTGAAAACAGTGTCAGTTCTGCTTTTCATGTGCTTTTTTTACATTGTTTCACATTTTTCACAACTAAATGTTTCTCACAGTTTGCACCTTTAAGGGAAATTACTACAGAAACTGTTGTGCTTCTTATTTTTAATAGTATAGAACCATTTACGCCGCCCACTACACAGGAAAGTCTGCGTCTGAACATTTCTCAAGTTAAATTCCTTGTACATAGGAAATAAAAGTGTGAATCATTTCTCTCTTGCCCCTCATCTTTCGAATTTTTATTAATTTCTGACTATTTTTCTCTTTCCCCCTTGTCTTCTTG